GTTAGTTAGTTAGTTAGTTAGTTAGTTAGTTAGGCGCCATCGCAGACCCCGGCGTCAAATTTGGAATAGGCATGCTTCTGCATGTATCGATCTTTACAGGTTGGAAAAAAGAATCATGTAGCATGATTAGCATGACGACGGAACTTCCTCCGGATACCCCATGCTCTCGGGGTATCTTTCTTGCCTGTTGTCGGGCTGTGTGAGGTTGCAGCGAGCATGGTCCTTCTCGTTCTGCTCGGGCCAGTGGAACGCGGTGGGGCACTCGAAGTTGGACTTGCAGAACCTGGCGGAAGGTCTGAGGTCTCTTCCGTTGGCATGGCTTACTTGAGAAAGTGGTCTTCTCTCCACACGAACGGTCCGGATTGAAGGGGGTGCGAAGAGCAATCAAGTCAACGAGAGTAAACCTTGCCGTCGATCACTTCCTGCTAAAAACAAGTTTTGCTCCTGGAAGTGGATTGCAGCTTGTGCTATAGCTCATCCCTATGTTGGGTGGAATGAGGGCCAGCCTCCATCAATGGCAATAATGAAGCAACTCACTTCTTGTGATAGGAATGATCACTGGATCGGAGGGGTACTGACCAAGAACTCCTATTTGGGCTACTGGTACTGCGTACCTCATTCCTCCAAAGTGTTGCACTCCTTTCCTTTCAGTCTTCAGGCAGATCGATAGGCAGGATACTTACTACTTTAATCAGGCGCTATTTGCTGGGACAAATAAGCCCCCTCAACAGTTTCACCTCCAACAACATAAATCATATCAGACGGCCGAGCCCCAGCTTTGGCCTCACAACATCTCCTCACCAACACCGCAGATTCACAGACCCGTCCAATGACCGGCTCTTCCGCGAGTCCAACCTGCTTCCCCGACACTGATGCACGCCCTCCACACCCAAAGGGATGGACTTGGCACCATCCACATCGTCGCTGCGGCCGAAGCAGAAGCGCAGCGTCTTTGGGCCACCCGAAGCCTCGAGTGCCATCACGGCCATCGGACGTAAGAGACTCGAGACTCTTGTCGTTTGGACAATGTGAAGAGCGGCATGTCGAATGCGCACTGGGTCTATATATCCGAGGAGTTCAGTCTTGAGTCATACCATGTCATAGACCCATAGTCTTCGAGCAAAATCGGACTAAGACCTCCTGGGTGTTGATACAGCTTCACAGACTCGACAGGAAATCGAAGCAACAGGGCCTTGAGCGCCACAGTGCCCGCGAAGGTGATGAGGTCACTCCAAGAGATGTTGGCACCAAACCTGAGCATTTCTGGAACTGGGGATTCAGTCAGGTTGGCAGAATGCTGGCAGACTTCACTGAAAGTGCCAGCTTCGAAGGTGAAAAACAAAACGCACCAGGTTGCACAGCCCTGCAAAAATGCATGAAAGTGGTTTGGTGGCTTTCGATGGGGTGGAGGATGCAATGACGAAAAGGGGGTGGTGTGACCGGATGGACAGAAGAGATGTCAACGCCTCACTTGTTATCACATGCTGTCTGTGCAGTCAAGCCCAAGGCAGGAGTTTGGGTCAGTTCACGATCAGTGTCCTATCCTAGGGGCCTAGGAAAAGTCTCCACTCTTCAAGCCCACTTCTTTTGGAAGAGAGAGAGAGAGAGAGACCGCGCGACCTCGCGCGCACCAATCTGTGTTTTAATTGCATGTTCAATCATTTTCAGATTTCCCCATCAGGGCCCTGCCCTTCGGTGAAGCCAACACGTCGCGCGGACGTTCCGCCAGCCAAGCGACTCCTGTTTCACTTGGCCCAACAAGCCACGAGCCTGGCACTTTTGGCGGGGGAAGCCCTTTGGTCACATTGGGGAGGAAGAAGGAGGACGTTGTCTATGGAGCCTTAGCCACGGTAAAGGCGGTATTTCGCTGATACCTAGATTCAGCTGCTGTCGTGGTGTCGTCAACTTGTTTCAAAAAAGAACGTCCTGATAAAGGTGGACTTATTCAATTGCATCTCAGGTTTCATGCCGAAATTCGGGATTTTTGAATCAAGCACCCTCCCCTGCCAAGTAGCATGTTTCAGCACTTAGGAGTCAAGTCTGTGAGGGATAGATTCGAAGCAGTGGCCACCCCTGTTCATCCCGTTTTCGTTTGTGGTTATGTTTTACAAAGGGATTATGGATGTAATGACATACATGTACATATGTCAAAACGTTGTGTGTTCTTCTGTTCAATGGTCGACTAGCTCAATACCAGCCCAGTCTTTCCATCCAGACTGGATCCAAACCATGTACCCTTGTAGCAGCACCGAATCCTAGGCATGCGGCATTGTCCCCAGATTGCAAATATACCTACTGAAACCAGGGACTGGACTACTGGAATACATACTTGCATGTCGGTCAGAACGCAAGAGCTGAAATATGATGAAATATGGGTGTCAAACCCTGAACTTGTGCAGTTCACAAATTGATGCAAATTGGGGTTCAAAAGTACTCCCTCTGTTTTCCATCCGGAAAGCATCTGGCGCCCGACCTTGTCCAGGTTGGTGTTGTCTCGCCACTCGTTCTCCGGCCAGTGCCGTTGCCTGGCGCCCTCACAGCCACCAGCTGCGTGCGTGTCATTGACGAGACGGAAGGTGCCGGAGCAATGCCACGCCAAGCGCCCGAAAAGACCAGCGTAGCTGGGGATATCGCCATCCTGCATCGATCGAGATCGGGATGAAAGGCGATGCTCATGCGACAAGCACTGCGGGAATGAGCTGAAACCACCGGATCCAATTGAACCTCCCCGAAGCCTGAAGCTCTGCAAGTTCTGACTTGAAAACTGATTGAACCCTAAAGGCTTGGAACCAGGAAAAGAAGCATTTCTGCGCGCCTGCGGACCATCTGCAGGCCAGAAGGCTTTGCTGCTGACCATCAGCTTTGTGATCGACTCGTACAAGCGCGGGATGTCCAAATGCTTCAGGTCACTGTGATAGGCCTCCTGAAGAAAACAACTCAGCGACAAATGAGATTCACAACACAGTCATGCCATGAGACCATCCAAACAGGTCCAAGCCTCATGTTTGAACAAACATGAGAAACATTGAGAAACAGGTGTCTTCACTTGATTATGGACTCCTGACCTGGATGGCCATTGATCGAAACTTGTACGTATGACCGAATGACCCACTTCGATATTGAATGTGCTTTGCCCACCAGTCGTACTGGTGGATTGGGCACGCAGTCGTACGGGTGCGAAGTCTCACAAGTTCAAATTCACCAGGGTCAAATTGCTCAATTGGAACATGGCCCAATAGAGTAATTGGACCCTTCGACTCGACTCCAGAATTTAGGGTTACCAGATCCACAGCACATGTTCTTCCTGCTAAGCTTGTCATAGTCAAAGTGTGTCAAAATGAGGAGACCCCCCCGCTTTGGGACAGAAGCTGACTTGTACTCTCACGAATCATCAAGCTCTCGCTGCTCCAAAAGCTCCTTGTCAAAGGGCTTAGCATGCTTGGTGCCTCGCAAGTAGCCCAAATCTTTCCAGGCGGGAATGGTCCCAAGGTCGTAGAAAGGGAAGTCATCATTGCCTCACTGCACACAGTGAGCGGTGATGAGCAGTACAGAGATTCAGATGCGACGTGAAAGTTGATTGGACACCGTGCAACTGGTGCAACATGGTGCAACGTGCTTCGACCGAAACTCGGTCCTGGTGGATCCTCAGTTCTTTTCTCTTCGGTCCAAACCTGCGAACGACCCGGTCGACCACACACGACCGCGTCCCAGCCACGCATCTGCGCCGTGACCGAGAGCACGACCGTCGCGGCCAATGAAGCCAGGAACATCGGAGCCATCGCTATTGCACAAGCAGGAGGGGATCCGGACAGGCAGAGGTGTGAGCAGCTACAGAAGCTGAAGCTGGCAAAGCTGATGAAGGGATGATCAGGATGATACCCTTGGCATGGTCTTAAGAGACAAAGAGTCTAAGAAAGTGACTGACTTCCCAGTTTGCGCTCATCTCTCACATTTCAATAGTACGTACTTTTCCTTCCAATGCCCGGCACCTCGACGCCCAGGCGGCCGGCTTCGGCCACCAGGAAGGCTCCCACGTTCTCGGGACTGGCGAAGCCTCTCGGAGTCGAACGACGGACGACGGACGGCTCCTCCGACCTTCCTCCATGATGCTTCCTCCGTGGTCGGATTGATCCCTTCATCCGGGTGGCATCACCGCGTCATCGCGGCAGTTCACCAACACACTTGCAGGGCTTCCGGGATCATTGCAGTTCGGGCTGCTACCAGGCAGTTCGGACCAAGTATCTGGGCACCCCCAGCCGGTGGAGATGGGCGGGGAGAGCGACGACCTCAGATCTGCATCTCAGTAGGGCGGCTGGGGCGGTGCTTGGCCAAATCGTTTTAACACAAATCGTGTGGTGGTGATTGGGAAATGTTAGTAACAAGGACGCTACTAGGGGCTCCTGGCCTTACTACTAGGAGCAAGGACGCTACTAGGGGCTCCTGGCATCGCTACTAGGAGCACGGACTCTACTAGTGGCTCGTGGCCTTACTAGTAGGAGCAAGGACGCTACTAGGGGCTCCTAGCCTTACTACTAGGAGCAAGGACGCTACTAGGGGCTCCTGGCATCGCTACTAGGAGCAAGGACTCTACTAGGGGCTGCTGGCCTTACTACTAGGAGCAAGGACGCTACTAGGGGCCCCTGGCCTTACTACTAGGAGCAAGGACGCTACTAGGGGCTCCTGGCATCGCTACTGGGAGCAAGGACTCTACTAGGGGCTCCTGGTCTTACTACTAGGAGCAAGGACGCTACTAGGGGCTCCTGGCCTTACTACTAGGAGCAAGGACGCTACTAGGGGCTCCTGGCATCGCTACTAGGAACAAGGACGCTACTAGGGGCTCCTGGCCTTACTACTAGGAGCAAGGACGCTACTAGGGGCTCCTGGCATCGCTACTAGGAACAAGGACGCTACTAGGGGCTCCTGGCCTTACTACTAGGAGCAAGGACGCTACTAGGGGCTCCTGGCATCGCTACTAGGAGCAAGGACGCTACTTAGCCCTCTAGTAGTTGCATGTGTTTCACTTTTGGCTCAAGCCGCTG